GTCCCTCCCGATCCAGGCCGCTCATGGTGAGCGTTTAGACCTCCGAGGACAAGTCTGGATGAGAGAGGCCGAGATGGCTATGGTGCCCTCCATGCTTCAGACCGAACAACAGAGCGTGACGCTAAGTTTTTGTGATTTAGCGCGAGAATGGGCACTAACGTGCAGCAATCCGGTCGAAGCAGTGTTTATCTCCTGCAAGAAGCAAAGGCTGCATCTTTCAAGAGTGTTCTTGCCGCCCATCAGGCATATCGCGCGCGATCGCGTTTCCTTACTTCCCGACAGGGCAAGAAGGAATGGGTTGACTTTGACCGAGACTTGCGTACTCTCATAGCTGGGAGGGCAACCGATTCTCTCCCCGAGGCGGTCGCAGTGACCGTCTTCATGGAGGATGTCCGCACTGGCGTAGCCAGAATGGGAGTTTTTTGTGTACATCCGTCTCCTTTTGAAGAAGCGGTAAATGTGGTACTAAATGCCGAATTCATCTTATAGTCGGCACGCTTACAGAGGATCAGTCGTAACGACTTAGGCGTGGATTGATACAAGTGCTACCAAGTGCAGCGGGGCTGCCATAACTGTTTCGCTTCGAAGAAGCTAAGCTAAAGTCACCGACCTTCGTTCTATAATTAAAACCTGTTTTAGTGTAGTAGATCGCAATCCGCTTACTCCAAGAGTAATCACTATTTTAACGCATGTCAAATAAATTCTTCCGCTCAAAATTTCTATTTTATTTGCAGCAGAGCCTCCAATATCTAAATCTATAGGTTTCCTTATCATATAGTAAGACCTTATTAAGAGCATAACTTCTAGCTGTCCAGCCATATAGTGGCTTCTCGTTAAGATGTAGCCTCACTATTGTGTGGTCACACCATGACCAAAGACAAACGTTGCGACTGGTATGTAACAGGGTTAGCTTCGGAGCCTATGTGTTTTTATCCCTTGCACGAAAAGTTATACTAAATGCAATACGAATCAATAATACGAAGTTCACTTTGCACTTTGGTGTAATTGTGTGGATATTTAGGTAGCAAAATATGATTTATGAAGATAGAGGAGAACCGAAATATGCAAGTCAGTGACTGCTAGCCGCGCTTTAGCGAGTATATTCATTTCAACTCGAAAAAAAACGTATTCTTCTCAGTGTCATTACATCTGAGCATATTTATTCTCTAGAAAGTAAAGCTATGTAAACACCTAGTGAATTGAACTTGCTTTCGGCTCCTTTCCCGGAAGAAGTGACCAAACCTACTTATTATGCGTTTGTTAACGTAGATTTCAAGAGTAAAGCTTTCCCTGTAAAGTACACGGCAGCTCCGCTCTCCTCTCCTCTTCTCGTCTCGGTACTTGTTTCTCTTATTCTCTTGTACTTGATAACACTTGTTGTCTATTTTGCGACTTAGTTGTGCAAATTTTAGTCCGCTGCAAGCATGGTTCCCTCTGTGGGGATGATATTAATAAGGTGCTTTTGCAGCGGGGCTGCTGTAGATCCTTGCTTAGAAGAAGTTAAGCTATGGTAACCGACCTGATATTCTTTACAAGAACGAGCACAAGTGCAGCGGATCGCAATCCGCTGCCTTAAAGAGTACTGAAAACCTTAACCAAGGTAAAGGGACTCTAACGCTCAAAAATGAAACTATATTTAAGTGATTTAGTTGCGGCAGAGCCGCCAATTTTGAAAATCCTTGTTTTTCTGATTAATATCGTAATACCTAGTCAATATTATAAAATCTAATCAATAACTATTACTACTGGTAATCCTGCACAAGTGGCTTCTTATTACGACGGTGTAGCCACCACATTGTGTGATCACACCAAATTGTGTAATACACACCTATGAACGGTCACAACATCTTGTGCGATTCGCCCTTTCAAACAAGGGCACGTGTAACTTCGTTATAGGTTACGTTGGAAAGTAGACCAGCTGAATAAATATTTTCCTATTGTTGGTCCCGATTGAACCGGGAACTTGATGGCTAAAGAGCTAGAGCTGATAATCGCCTGCTGAAAAGCGGGCATTTGGTTCGTGAAATCGCGCTTATAAAGCACGTTATAAAATCATACCCACAGTGAAGCCGTTGATACTGACCATTCAGGCTCTTGAAGGCAACCCCGACGAAAATCCAATCCTCAGAATGGGCGATGCTGAGATGACCATAATTCGGCTTTGATCCACATGAATTGGTAGCGCATCCTGCTTACGATATCAAAACAAGAAGCTTACGCACAATACTGGAACCTCATTGATTCGGTAAAATAGACAATTCCAGCATTAGAAGTTCTGAGATGATAGGTGTCAAAATGTTGTCAACGCCATACGAGGCGTACAAGGTGCGTACAAACCACTTTTTCACTCGCAACAAAAGACGAGACAGAGGGCTATGTCCCGAAGTAAAAAAAACTTATTGCTACAATGAAATTAGGCTTTTCCACGAATGCGGTGGCGAATTCCATTTTTTTAAGGGATTATCAACGGGTACGGCCCACCTCGAGGCCTACCAGCGTCCGCCCAAAGATTTCAGACGAATTGGTGGGCGTTGCGATTAATGTAGAGAGCAGACTGAACAGAGTAAGAAATAGGCGCTCCACCAAAGCGTAAAGACCCTATACCTTTGTAATGATGCAGTTTCTGCTAAGCAACTTCGTGGAATTTGCAAAGATTCCTTCTGTGATTGCACAAGACGTCTGCGTCTTACATTCTTTCCTTTGTTCTAGGCTGAAAAGTACGAAGAGAATGTCCCCTGCGCAAAGACAGACGACGTGATACTCGCAAGGAAACATCGTTGGGCGTCTACGTAGTCGGGCCCCCGGCCACTACACAAGCTGAGCTTGATCTGCGGAGAGCTCTCCGAGCTCGCTTTTTGGTGTCAGAAATCCCAATGGATAGGTACTGCGCTCGACTTCGCGCTCAAAGAGGAAGCGCTCCTATACCCGCGATGCGGATGATTTTTGTGGTGCTCGCTCCTGGCGAAACCAGTGCAGATGATAAAGAGCGCTTCGATCGATGGGTGCAGCGGCACCGGAAATATTTCGCTGTCTAATTTTCAGTAGAGCTACAAAGAGGTGGACGAGCGCCTGGAACGCCATCATCGGCTCGACCTCCGGAACGAGATTGGTCTGGTTCGGGAGCCAAATACTGCGTAACTCAACAATGGCCCCTGCTCAAAGAGCAGTGCGACGTCATAGACGCCTTCTTCCGTGCGAAGCACGGCGCAGGAATGGTTTGTGAGAGCAAGTCTTCACATTCGACACCAACGTTTTGTGTCCGGAAATCGAACGGCAAGTGGCGTGTCGATCACGCTTCCAATAGGCTCAACGGTGCACAGTTTCCGCACAGACGCGAATTTCTAGGAATGTTGTTCTCCAAACCATCATGGTTGGATGTACAAGTATAGTGCACTTAACATGGTCGATGGATATTTTAATTGCTCATGAGAACGAGTAATATTTCGCTGACAGCGGTGAGTACTCCGAGTGGCATGCTTTGGGAGTAACTGGTGATGCTCCAAGGGCTGTTAAATGCACCAGCAACATTTGATCGTCTTGTGACGCAGTTGTTAAGGCCCCACCGGGTGTATACACAGACACACTTTGACGACATCTTCGTCAACAGTCGTGCGGACCACGGGAGGAGGGATGAAAAGAGCCACTTCGTCAATCTAAGAGCGGTGCTCGAGTGCGGGCGCACAAAGGAGCTGTATGCTAATGCAGAAAAAAGCATGTTCGGCGCCAAAGAAACCCCCTTCTAGGAGTGTTTCATCGGGTAGCGTGGTCTTCGAGCGAATCCCGCTAAGGTCAAGGCCATTGTGGGCTGGCCAGTTTTAAAGAACTAAAAGGACTTGCGCAAGTGGCTTGGCCACACCAACTACTTGCACAAATACAGTGAGAGCTACGCAGAATTGGTACGGCCATCTTCGAATCCCTTAAGAAGAATGCGGAATGGTGTTGGGATATCGAGCATCGGGAGTCTTTGACGGGATCAAAGACAGCCTCCTTCATTCACCAATGTTGGCGTTGCCAGACCCCAGTCGTCCTTTTAGTTCCGTCTTTAACGCTTCGGACATTGCCATCGGCTGTGCTCTGCTAGCACAAGCAGACACCGAGGGTCGAAATCGGGTGATCGCGTTTGGGTCTCGCCAGATTAAGGCTGCGGAGAAGACTTACCCAGTCCGCGACAGGTAATTACTTGCGATGAAGTATGCACTTGTCAAGTTCAGGGTATACCTGCTCGGCTCCAAGCTGTTTGTAATCTACACAGATTATGCGTCACTACGCACTGCAACTCAGGTGTCTCAGCTCTTGTAGAGAATAGCCAGGTGGCTCTTTTTCTTTGCAGACTTTAACTTCGAAGTGAAGTATGAGCCAGGAAAGCAGCACGCTTTGGCTGATGCAATGTCACGCAGACCGAACTATGAGCTTGCTCATGTCACGATGGTGAAGACGCCAGTGACGGATTTAACCCGCGCCTTATACGCCGGTAAAGATATGTGGGTAGCGCTGCTACTTGCTCTCGGGAGCAAGGAGTTTCTAATTCTTGATGAATTAGCACCGATGCAACGGATACGCCACGAATTGTGGTTCTTCACGATGAGGATTTGAAATACCGTATTCTATATGGGATCCACAACACGCAGCCTTGCCTGATCACAAAGCACATTTCGTTTGCCCTAAACGTCAGAAAGCATATTTTCTGGAATAAAATCTTAATCTGATCCCTACCGCCAAAATATGGAATTGTAAATGTGGAAAATGAATGTTTCGATAGAGCGGGCTTTGACCTTCCTAAACCTGGCTTACTATTCTTTCTAGTATTAGTAAAGTAGACTTTTAGTCGAACAGAATACCGATCTTTCGACAGCAAAGACCCGAATTCCGGTTCGTTCGATCAGAAATCAAGTGAAGAAATTATCACTATGGTAAAATCACTATCCAAATGGCCTAATTGATTACCTTTTCGCTCTTCGAACTTTTCACGCTTTTCACAGACGCAGATAGCTTTTCTGCGTTTACCTTGTAATCCCACCGACGCTTGACTATGTCCAATAACGTTTGTTGATTTAGCATAGCCAGTTTTCCTTCTCGGGCAAATCCACCCACATTTTCCACTGGAAGTGCAAATACGTTTGCAACCTCATGCAAGAGATCAAAAATGTCATCAACAGCTGCGGGCAATGATGGAGAGCGAAATGCATCGCGGTATTCGCTCACATCTCGAAGTAGCATGCAGGCACCGTCAGGATCAAATCTGAATTTCTTTAGATGTTGCAAATATAGCCCTTTGAAAGACCTCGCAAGAGCAACTAGATACCGATTACAGTTGTCGCCAACCTGCATTGATGTCAGAAGGGATGTAAGTTGGTCGATTGATTATAAACACTAGTAGAACGCACCAAAACTCGGTAAATCTCAGCCACGAGCGGCCGCAAAAACTCAGTGCACTTCTGGCATGCAATGGACGATGAGAGCAACATGCTGGTTTGACCTTCGAGAAAGTCATCTTTGGCTTGATTTTCGGTCAGAATTTGATTGATCAGCTTTTCGATCACAGTGAGCACTTTTTCGAGACCGGTCGTGAGTAAGCTTTCAAGATTGTTTAGGCACTTGTGATGGCATTCTTGACAAATTCTAAAATAGCGCATTTGAAGTAAGCGGTCGTTCTAGTAGTATCGTTACATCAAAATCGACTAACGTTAGTTGGGTAGGGAGGTCCTGCAAAAGAGCATTAAAGTACTCAAACTGTCCATTAAAAAAGTCAATGCGCTTGAGTATGGCCTGATAAATATATAATTTTCTTAAGCTGAAATTTCAAGTAACACCAAAATTGCTGCATTGGCTCACCTCTGTGAGGAAAATGTAGTGTAATGGAGAATCTAATGCTATCCGCTGCTCTTGCAGAGTCTCTTTCGTCAGTAGTAAGACTTTCTGCAAATACATAAGCACATATTAGTAAAAAGCTTTTCAGCAAGAACAACGTCAAACGAACAGCCAAATATTCTTCGCCAAATGAGGCCACAAATGACGTAAATATCTTTGTAAGGAGCTCCCCACGTAATTCTGATCCTTCCAAGACAGACTCACAACGTTTTATGGCCTCATCCATCATATCTTTATATCTGCTTAGTATAAATGTATTTTCTGCAAGCTCTCGGACGCTTTCAAAAAATACTAGCGTCGACTCCGATTGAAACATGCCAACATTTTTCTCAATGTTAGGTGACGACGTCGACGATATAGCAGCAGACGATACCATTTTGTTAGAAAGGGTTGAGGCCGGCGAGGATGGCGTGGTTGTGGTAGCCGTACTTGTTAATATAGCGTTTTTAGCTTTATTTCCACCTCCTTTGATCTTGAGAGGCAGTAGCGATTGAGGAAACTGCACTGTAGACAGAATAGCCTTGAATTGGTAATGCAGCAGGTCCAATTCTGCTTGAACGTATCTATCGCGATGATTCCCGAATAAAGAATGGAGCTGAAGATTGAGAAAAGAACGAATTCTTTCATGCTCAGTGGCAGCAGAGTACTTGTGTAAACATTTACCGTTTCGTTTTGCATCCTCTTCTGGCAGTATTTCCTGCTTGTGTGAATCAGCCTCTTCGTTAAGCCCGATAGCGTCAATATCTGCCACCATGGTACACGTTGTCGTGAAAGCCGCGCATAATTGCTTGACGTAGTCACGTTTAAGAGACAACGAAGCCGAGTATGTTGCAGACGATGCACTTTCAGCATCCGCTGGTATTGAGCTTATCGGGTCGGTGTGGCGTCGCGTGCTCAGTAACTGATCCATAAGAGATAAAACTCCATATGCTGGATCATTAAACAAGCGCTCAAGCAGTAGCTCACGAACGCCATTGCGTGCAACAGGAGGAAAGACTTTGTCAATCACTGGAAATTGCTCAGCACAGATGGCATGGACCTTGGTGCAAAGCGCATCAAATTCTTCGATAAGATCGAATGAAGACACGTTGGGCTCACCAGCAGCACTGCATTTATTCGTAACACACGAAGAATTAGTCTACATTTAGACCGAAGAAAAGAGTTACATTCCTGGCAAGTCGGCACACGACATTCCATACGTATCGATCCGCGACCTTCTCCTTATCATTATACTCAATTAATGACTCAGCGCATTTGCGCATCCCCGCGAAATTTCCTTTCTCTTGCTCATTGCTAAATTCTGTAAGCAGATGATTCTCTATCACTTGACAAAGCCTTCCAATTTCGGAAATTGCATACGCGATTATCGGCGACGACAACTCAGAAGAGAGCTCGGCCACCTTCTTCATTATTCGCGAAGCTTCGTGAAGTTGGTTCGGGTCGTGCAGAGTATTAACCAACCTATTACTTGACTTGGTTGATTTAGTACTGGGGTCATTTAATGCTAACAATGCATCCATTAACTCGTCCGTTTCTAAGGCTGTTAAGCGCTCATTATCAAGTGTTGACAATTTGTCTCCAATTGTCACAGCGGTTGAGCTCACTTTGGTAAAACGGTCCTCTAAGTCTTCCAGCTGGACACAAATGGTCTATGCAAACAACGTAAAATGAGTGAAGACTGAATTTAAATAATAAAATAATGTACAAACGCTGAGAATCGAGTCTGGCTTTTCCAATCCGTTTTGAAATGTGCTGCTCACTCGTCGACAGCCGTGTTCTAGCTCCACGATGCGGTCGGACACTTCTTTCCGATGTTGCACCAGCCGATCGATAGAATCAGATAATACACTTTGTAGTGAGTGTAAACCATGCGTTTTCTGCGTGAAAGACTCAAGGCTTCCTTTTGAGTCGAATGCTGGATCAATGGGCTCCCACTTGCTCGTCAAGAGCTCGTCCACCATTGTTTCAACATCATAATTTCCTGCATGAGCGCTACTTGAATCGTCAATAGCCAGGAAAAGCTTTTCCAGCTCAGCACTTAGTTCCGGGGTTCGGACTGTCGAGGAAGCAGGCGACCGTCCAGCAGTATATTTTTCCGTGAGCATTGTCATTGCGAAAAATGCAAGCAACGACTATTTGATATATTTTTCATCGTAGATTGCCTACTAAGATAAATATACTATTAGGAAATGTATGCACTAAAAAACTCGTGCATTAAAAAAGGGTGCGCTGTTTGATATTGCGATTAATTCATTACATCTGCACCCGCGCTTCCACAATTGACGGATCGAGGCTTAGCCGTATTTAATTCGCTTCGCGTCCTCTTTGGACGGTCAAATTCTTGTATGACATAGCATTAACGCGATCACTTCGCTAAGTCGTTTGATGATGCAGGAGATGGTCAATTTTGATGCGATCTTTGAACGAGTACAAATAATTGCACGACTCGCTGAGATCATTCATGGTGCTACTAAAGACATTCTTGAAATTTACAATATTCACCGTTTTAGCAATATGATACCTTGTATTGGTTCGGTAATACAAAGGTAGAAATTTTTGAATATATACGTT